ATCAGGTTGCAGTTCCAGATATCACAGGAGTTACCTGGTTGCAGTCAGCCATGTCAGGTGAGATGTGAGGAAGGGAAGCAGGCAAAGCCTGTTATCCCAGAAACAAGTAAAACAAGGACTGGTAAAGCATGCTGGGGCAAAAGAGCAGCTGTAAGTGAAGCACACCAGATATTCCTGAGCAAGACTGGCAACAGAGAGGACAGCTGACCGGATGTTTGGATGCTCTGCCAGCCTGCAAGTTCTGTAAAATGCTATTGAGTGAAGCCTGAGTCATTTCTTCTAGCTGGAGCTGAGTGCTGTATTTGAATGAGAAGTGTCAAGTCTGCTCCTTGCAGCTGCCAGCTGAGCTTTAGAAGTATGATGTAGCATTCTGAGTGTTGAGAACAGCCCCGGTAGTTGCTGTCATTTGCTTTGTCAGGAAACTTGTGCCTTGTTCAGCTGCTACAACACAAAGCTCCTTTAGGAGATGATGCTGTGTTTTACTCCCCACTAATGGGCTCTTTGGTTTTGATTGCAGGGAAGTGGGAGTGTCCTTGGCACCACTGTGATGTTTGTGGCAAACCTTCTGTTTCTTTCTGCCACTTCTGCCCAAACTCTTTCTGCAAGGAGCACCAAGACAGGACAGTGCTAAATTCCACGTTGAACGGACAGTTGTGCTGCTCTGAACATGTTCTCGGGGTGGATTCTGTTGAAACTCAGAAGACTGAGAAACCCCGCAAAAAACTGAACAAGTTCAAGCCCAGGAGAAAGAGGAACAGATGGATGAGAGCTGAATGCAAATAGTCATGGACTGCAGTTTCTACTGCTAACACTATCTTGTAGATAAGTTGTGAATATGACCAGGGAAGGACACAATTTTACATATATTCTGTAAAGGTTACAATGCGGGGGGGGGGGGGATTTTTTTGTTTTGTTTTTTATAAATCCACTGAGCCAACTACAGCAGTCTTCTGCTGCTTCTGCACTGATAACGAACTGCATAGTTCAGCAAACTTCAGGACAAACCAAACTTATTACTCAGCATTACAGTTACACTTGAATTGTTACGAATGTAAAATGTTCCCTCCAAAATACTTGCAGGTTGGAGGTAGGTTAAAATCAAACCAGGTAGGCGTAAACATAGTTTTTTGAGCTAGTGTTTGTCAACCAACAGATGTTTAAAATAGTATATCCTTGAAAGAAGTTGTTAGTTCTCAAGTCCTTTTGAGTAAGAAATGGCTTGGTCTGTGGTCCCAATGAGATTTGCTTGCCTTGTGTGTTTTTGAGCAAGTGCTTGAATGCCAATCATGACCCAGGTGTGTCTCTCACTACAGCCACACACACAGCAATTGGTTTGTGCTCTTCAAAAATTGTTCTTAAACAATCATGATCATAAATATCCTTCCACCAAGAAATGTGGTGCATGCTGGGAAAGGCACGCCCTGTACCAGAGAGGAGGAATCTGACTTTGTAGATTTTTTTCTATACTGTTTTTTCCTGTATTTCATCCCATATGAAATTATTTGATCTTGCAGAGCTGTACAGGTCAGGACTTAAAGGGATATTGTCTTGCAATCTAGGCCAAATACTTTAGGATTTTTATGTCTTAATAAAAAGAAATCTTTCAAAAGCTATTACTTGGAAAAAATTACTTGGGTTATTTTTTTATTTTTTCAATGGCAGGTAAAATGCAGAGGAAAACTTTCCTTTGGAATGCTTGGAGTCCAAGCGTTTCAACTTTGTGATAATGTAAGAAATGCCCAACAAGGAGCAAAACCACCCCCATGAATGAAACAGAAAGTGAAATTTGATTGGAGTGCAAAAAGTAAATTCAAAACAAGTAAAAGTGAAATGGGTTTTTGAAGCAGCATGCAAGAATTTTGATGTGAAATTTAGCCTTGCTCTGTTCCTTTGCACAAAGTTTGTATAAAACTGGCTACTTGGTTTTCTTTGTTACATTTCTAGGAGCTCTGCTCTTGACTATCCTGTCACCACTGTGTTGTGTCAGCAAAGCTCTTTTGAATTCCTCATCCCCATTAGCATTAGGTCCTCACTAATTCACAGTCAGGTGAATATACAAGACTTAGTATTGACAGAAATAATACTAGAACTAGGAAAAAACTGTAAAGAAAAACATCTGTGGCAGTTTTCTTCCCAGTGCACATCCTTGGTGTGTGATTAGGCAGCGTTCCAAGCACATTTGGATTTTTGCCATTGTGACCCACCCTCCGTAAGCACCATGTGCACCTCCATGTCCACTGAGCCATTTCTGAATGTTCTAGCTTAGTTTGCCCTTAATAGTGCAGGAATTCTGTGTATCCCTTTTGAAAATGAAGCCTTGCTATATCATGGTTTTTCCCCAAAGTGTTTCTTCAGGATTTGATTTAGTTCATGGAATTGCCAAAACCCCCATTCATTCCCAGCACGTAAAAAGTTTGGTTTTATTAGAAGATACTAATTGAAAGAGGTTATAAATGTTGCATTGCCCTATGCTGAACACTTTGGTTTCTGTTTTGTGACCAAAATGCTTTGTTTTTTATATCAGTTTTTATAAACACTGTTGGAAGATTAATTTTTTTTTCCATATAATTTTGAAGAAATAGCAGAGTTCAAATCAGGGGAAGTGTTACATGTTTGCATTGTTTAAAATGGTATGCCAAGCCTTGCACTCAAGTTAAAATTCAAGATTCTTTAATTGATTTTGAGGGAAATTTTTCTCTGCCATGGGGCTGAAGAACAGTCCTGTGCATAAAATCAAAACTAAAAAATGGTATTATGAATGTTTCTTTAATATTGGGTTTCAAGGGAAGGAAAATGAGTTCAGGTAGTTAAACAGAAATAGTTTCCTCATTGCTTTAAAACAAAATGAAGGAATTTGATGTCATTGGGACCAGTCTTTGAATACTAAACCGTGTAAGGAAGGCTTTGTAAGAATACCTTTAAATAAGTTATTATAAAATTTTTCCTTTACATTCCATTGCTTTCATAATTTGTTCTTTATTTTTTTTGGGGGGGTGGTTTTTTTTTAATTGTTTTGTTGCCTTTTCCTCTTCACGTGTAACAGCTCTGTCCCTGTGGATGCCCCAGGTCCCGAGGCAGATCCCAGCTGAGCAGGCGCCGTGTGTCCTGGCAGGCAGCGCTGCAGTGCCAGCGCCCCGGCTTTGGGCACGGCAGCTGCAGGCCAGGCACAGGGGGACCCTTTGTTCACACAGCAGATTTGAGCTTCTGCTTCCTTCTGCCTCTCCCTGCCATTCCCTGCTCCTGCTGAGGCTCCCTGGGAGTCCCCTCCTGCTGCTGGGCACGGCTGCACTGAGCTGAGCAGTGTGGATCAAGCTCCCCTTGCTGCCTGCGTGAGCCCAGCCCAGGCACTCAGCTGTGATGTGGGAGAATTTTTGGTTTCTGTGCCAGGACAGGTGGGGTTTAGGTGCTCTGTGATGAAGGCTTCTGTACCTTGCTCTGCAGCCTGGGAAAACAGGCTAAAGTTTTGTTTAGAAAAGAAGACAGAAGAGTTGTGACATTGTTTTCCTTCTCCCACTGTTCAAATACAAGGTAAAACAATCCTTAAGACTTGAGCTTTCTCATGATGCAACTCAATACCTTTTAGCATTCAGCAACTTGAAGGATTTTCTGTTATAAATTAATCTAAACAACATTAACTGTGGCATATTATGTGGCCTTAAATGATGTTCTTTGTGTCTTGCCCATCAAAGTAGCAAAATGTCTTTCCTTTTCTAACAAAAAGCTGATACATGACTGCCAGTTTCAGAATTTGTTGTTCTTTTATCACATGAGCAAGCATGGAAACAATTTTCATTTGAGTATGTTAGATGTATTTTCATACAACCTAGGAAAAATAATCAGAGTAAATGTCTGTTTTGTTCAATAGCTTTGTATTTATGGTCAGGTTTTAGGAGGCTTTTTATTTGAATTACTTGGAAAAGCAAAATATCTTGAAAGACATATTAATGGGGTTTTTCCACATTGTTGAGTCTCATTATTCCATGTCTGACTGCTTGAGAAACTTCAATGTCTTATTAAATGTTGAATTTTATTCCTAGTTATTTAAGAAGTTGCTAAGTCTCTTTTGTAAAACAGCTCTATATATTTACTTTGGCACCTTTTTTTTTTTTCTTTAAAGAAAAAAGTAGAATTGATACATACTAAGCAAGCATGGTTTAGCAGTGAGGGAACAGGGTTTTTTCTCTCATAGGGAAAACTTAACTTCAGGCCTTCCTAGAGATGCCCTGGAAATACTGTTTTATGTTTCCACAGAGGAGATAATAATTCTGCTGTGGCTTGTTTTCACACTGTAGCTTATCACAGAACTTCTGACATTTCTTGCAGTCCAGTTTTTCCAGTGCTGCTCTCTTGCTCATAATTTTACAGTCATTTGTGACACTGAGCTGGGGCTATCCAGCCCAGCTCCCTCAGGGTCCTTTTGGTGTTTTCACAATGCTGGTCCTGCTTGGTCAGGTCTGAGTTTGACTGACTTTTTCAGACAGGTTTTCTGAGTCTGGTTTGGCTTCATGTGTGAAGTCTCCCACATGTGACAGCAGCTACGTTTTTTAAAAAAGCATTTCAGAGATTTGCTTTTATACTGGTGGCTGATACTTCTGCTGAGGTCAGCTGGTGCTGTGCATCAGGATTGTGTCCCTCTCCTCCCTGAGAAAAACCACAGCCTTGGGCCAGAGAGAAACTTCATGTCTCTCCTAAATCAGCAGTGGGAGAGACTGCACGGAGCTCTGGCCATGCTGGTAGGTAACATCCCTGCTGCTGCTGATCCAAATTAGAATCACAGATGGTTTGGAGTGGAAGGGACCTTAAAGACCATCCACTTCCATTCCCCTGCCATGGGCAGGGACACCTTCCCCTAGACCAGGCTGCTGCAAGCCCCATCCCACCTGGCCTTGAAAACTGCCAGGGATGAGGCAGCCACAGCTTCTCTGGGCAACCTGTGTGCCCAGTGGCTGATGTACCACTCCTGCACCCAGTTACTCATCTGACAGAGCTGAGACACATCAGAGAACTGATTTATTTTATTAATCCTTTTAAACACTTTCAACACCTTCCCTGGGGAGAGGAGAATGAGCAGGAACCACTTAACCCCCCCCCAGCTGGGTTCCTTCAGCCATCTCTGCTGCTGCAAGATTAAGTGAGAGGAGGCAACACCTGCTACCACCTCTGTGCAGAGTCATTTAAAATCATGGCTCTTTTGATAGAGATTGTGTTTTTACTGGCCACTGAGAGCTGGTGAAGCACAGCACTGACACAAAGGGTCACAGCTGGCTGGGCTGGGTTTACACAGCACCTGTGTGGGAATGTCACTGTAGGAGGAAAAGGAAACCAAGGTGGGAAGGTTAAGAGGCCACAGGTATTGGTTTCATGGAGCAATTGATACTGGCTCCAGTACAGGTGATGGGCATTTCTAACTGCCTGGAATGCTGGCTAAGCATTGCCCAGAGAAAAATATAATGGGGGACATAGAGCAAACAACAAAAGTCAACCAGGCACACACAGGAATCATCTCTGGAAAATACAAATCCCATTAGTTTAACGAGATGGTTAAACTGGGCTGGGTGCACAGAAGAGGGCTTGGAGTGCCACAGCAAATGGATACAAACCACTTGTGTTGCTCTCCTGGATGGGGGGTGCAGTGTCCAGCATCAGGGGTCAGTGTCCAGGATCAGGGACAGAACTTTGCCCAGGCATTTAGGCAGTGGGTCTCCTATAGCCCCTCTCCCCAGCATCAGAAAGGTGCAAGGCATCTTCTGTGCCTGCACCATGCTGCTCCCTTGTAGCTCCACTCTGAAACACCACCTGACAGCAGGAAACAAAAGGGACATTTGTCCAGGAATCAACCATTCCTTTAGTTGCAAATGTTTGCCCACAGCTGAAAGGAAGGGGAGAGTTTTAGGATCCCTTCCTTTGATTTGTGCTTATGCTAAAACTTTGAGAATGGGGGAACAAAATCAAAAATTGCATATTATTAAAAGGAGGTATATTCATGTTAGTTTGTGCTTGGGTGGAAGTGAGTGTAGTATCAGAGGGACCTCAATAACTGGAGCAGTCACTCCCACTCTGTTGAGCGGACTACTAAAATTGAGAAACAGATAGGATTGATTGCTTTTTGGAGGGTTTTTTTCCCCCTGAATAAAGGAGAAAAGTATTTACTTGTGAAGGAAGACAAGAACTGGAAGGGGAAGACTTCTCCCATCAGCCCAGTGCAGCAGAGCAAGGAGCTGGGTTGGTTTGCACAAGTAGCCACAACTCAAAAACTGGATTTTATTCCCCACCTGATTTTAGCTATACAGAAATAAGTTGCTCATGGTTAAAGACCTTGCCCAGAGCCACATCTGTGTTGCCCCAGGGGAAGAGAGGCTGCTGGCCATGGCCTGTGCTACCAGCCAGCATAGACTGGCTCTGTGTGCTCCGTGCCCCCGTAGGTGGCGTGTCCCGAGCCCCGGGGCAGCAACAGCGACTTCAAGGATTTCGTGCCATGTTCTTGTCGCCTTCTCAGAATTATTAGAAAGACAACAAAGATTCCACCTGGAAGGAAAAGAATGGTAGTTATTCCCAGAGGGGAAGGTAAAGTGTCAGGTGATGTTTAAGGCTTCTCAACTCAGGTATTCTCTTCTGATAAAATAAGGGGCTTTTTCTCCTACATATTCTGTCCCTCTCCAAAATAGAGGGGGGAAAAAAGGTTCCACTAGCACTAATAACACTCAGCTTCAGCAGTTCAGCTTAACTCTGCAAGGAATAACAAGTTTTAATGAAATCATTCAGTAACTTGCTTTCCTATTCCCATTTACACTCTACTCTCTGGAACTGTTTTTCACTTGGCGTCTTATTCACTGCAGACCCCACCAAAAGTATCTTGTTGAGAAATTAGTTTCCTCTGTGCAGCACTCACACTGAAGCACAAGATGTAACTAAGCTAGATTAACTCTGAGTCTAGACTGAGATCAGAGCTGTCAGGAAAAATTACTTTTGGATTGGGCATAGACTTGGAAGTAATTGGCAAATCTCAAGTAGTGCGACATTCTGTTCGTTTGTTTCTGGCAGAAGCACCATCAGAGAAAATTGATCTGAACAGAAGAGCACAAATCTGTCGCTGTGATGCAATATGGCCAGACAAATACACCCAAATTTCAGTTGTGTGAGCAGACAGCCTCATGGTAAACACTTCATCTGTGAGACCAGCCGTGAAAAACTCACGGGTTCCTGCATGGGCTGTTTCCTTTCCCCCTCTTTGCAGCAAGCTCTGGGAGAGGCAGCAATGCTGTTCCCTGACCCTCAGACTTGTTTATCACAAATGCTGGTTAATGGGCCATTGTCCCTTCTCTGGGCAGTCTTTTCATACCCTTCAGTTTAATCTACTTTTTCAAATTAATACTCGCTTCAGATGGCATCTGTTTTGGCAGATTTTTGGACAACAGCCTGGCATGAGGGGATGGGGGTCAGTGGAGGACCTTTCTCATGGCTTCAAGCCACAGTTTGTGAGAACAACCCTCATCTGCTCCCCCCAGGCACTCCAGCCCCATGGAGACAGCAGTCAGAGTGCTGCTAGAGCTCCTGCAGACCCTGCTGTCCTTGTCCCCTCCTCAGCTGCCAGGACACAAGTGTGATGAGAACACTGCTTCTTGCTGGAGAAGCAGCTTTGCTGTCTCTTGTTCACTGTGGGGAGTAACACATGCATTTAATCTTTCCTCCCTCTCCTTTTAACAGCAGCCAGCCAAGTGGAGAATGGGTCTTCAGGAAGTACTTAAAATACACTTGAAACACAGCAACTGTGAATATGAGCCTTGTTGGATATTCTTTATCCTCTGATGGCTTACTCATCTCTATGACTTAGCTCTCTTGACACAAGATTCTCATCTCAGGTAGTGTAAGTGGCACTTAGGGATTTCTCTTCATCTCTCTGGGCACAGGAGACAGATTCCTCCTCCCAGCTTCCTCATCTGCCCTTTTTGCAATCCACAGCACCAATAGTTGCTCATTTTCATCATAACTCTCTGATTAAACCTCCCCCCAACTTTGATTAAAAATGAAGTAACTCTGTTTTTCCCTTTCCTAAGACTAAAAATGCATATTCATTGTTTTGGAATGATTATTCATGGTGCAGCTTCCCAGTTGAAAAGCTCATCCACTCATTAGTTACCCTAGTGAGCTAATTTACAGCAGGTGGCATCTGGAGGGATGCTCCCCACACTCAGCAGCTCCTGACTCTCGGATACAAGGAACATTTGGCATCAATGCCACCAACACTGCATGAGCCAGCAGCTCCCCATTCTGCTGTGGCATGACTTAAGGCAGGAATGCTTTCAGGAAACAAAATCTCATAGCAAAAGGAAATTGTCCTTTTTCTTACTTCTGTGCAGCCAAGGACTCCCTGTTTGAGGGTCCATACACATCCCTGCTTCCCAGGGACAAACAAGAAGCATTCAGCACTGTGCCACCTTCCTTCAGAGCAGGGAAAGGACTGTCACTGGCAATGAAAGCAGCCAGAAGGACTTTCATTAGAAATCCTGCTTTCCAGAAACACAGAATACACCACCCAGAGAGTGCTTGGTTCAACACAGCTGCAGAGGGGTTTTAGCAGAGGACAGAGAGGAGCCAGACTGACCTGCTGAGAAGGTGGCCAGGACAATGACGGTGGCAGGGGTCAGCTGGCAGGACTCCCCTGCCTTGTACAGGAAGAGCTCCATGCAGTAGGAGGGCTCCACGCTGCCCCTGGGGCAGAAGGCATCAGGAGGGCACTTCACTGGCTTCACATCTGGGCTCTGCCCAAGAGAAGAAGTAATTCAGCACCAGCAAAATGCAGAAGGCAACCAGGGCAAAGGGAGGTAACATTTCATCATTAGGGGGGGAAAAATAAATAAAGGAATGAGCCTGCCATTATTAAATACAGCCTCATCCACCCCTGCAGTGTTAGAGGGTGGGGAAGAGCAGAAGGTGTTACACAGCAAGTCCCTACCTCAAACCCCCTCATTAATGCACAGACCATCCCCTCGTGCCCCAGTTAGAGTAGGCAGAAACCACAATCCAGGCACAAAGCCACACTCCTGGAGTCATTTTAATCATCTCCCTGCATCACAGCCCTGCCTATGTTTAAGAGAAAGGAAGCTCAGATTACAAGAAAAAATAAAGCGTTAATTGAAGTGTATTTGGCTTGTCATGGGACAGCTCTGGCTAGCACAGGCTGTCCCTAGCTGGTGGGGACTCACAGGGCAGTAGTGGTTTTCTGGGCACAGCTCACAGCTCTCCTTGCCCCGCTGTAGCTGGTACTCTCCTGTCCTGCAGGCCTTGCATCTGTTGTCACTGGGGCCTTTGAATGTACCTAAATAGAAATAAGCACAGTTTAGTCTGAGACTAAACCCCAGGATTGTTGCAATTGTATATGGATGGATCAGCTTTCAAAGCCACGGGGAGAAAGAGCATCAAGTGCTCATGTGCATAACAAAAGCTGAGCCTGGACTTTGGTCCTGGTTCGGTGGCAAAGGGTCAGAACAGAACAAACAGGGATAGAGGGACTAAAGAACATTTGGGGTCAGACCGTGGCATAAAGAGTAGTGTGAGTAGGAGTACGTGGGAGAGGGGTGTAGCAGTGAGTTCTGACTTCAATGTAGGGGAAAATGGGAGCTGGAGGTCAGCAGTGTTTCATCCTCTCCAATTCTGGATTCAAACACCTTTTCCAGCTGTTTGAAACTCACTGAGCAGACTTCAAAGCACAGCTCAGTTTCCCGAGCTTTGTGGGAGAGACAGGTCACAGAAGTTCCAAGTCTCAAAGTGGTAAAATGCTTTCCTGCACGTTTAAAATGCAGCTTGGCTGTGAGACACGCCTGGGGCTGTGTCCAGACCGGAGGCTGGTCCCTGCCATGGAGCGCCGTGCCCAGCCCAGCCGGCTCAGCTGCGGCAGCCTGGCTTGTGTTGGACAGCAGGGCCCTGTCCCTCGCATCCCTGCCCGTGTCCCTCTGCCCCAGGCTGCTCCTGCAGAACATCCACCTCTGGCAGCAAGGCTGTGCTTTCCTCAGCAAAGTCACCACCACCGACAAAGCTGAGGATCTGGGCTCCCTGGCATGCTGGGGACCAGCACAGCTCCAAGGTATTAACCAGCCTGGCGGGAAGGTCTGGCACAGCACCCAGCCAAACCTCCCGGCACTATCCCTCCCTGCCAGGGCACAGCTCTGCTCTGCAGGGCACCTGCAGCCCCGGGGCCAGGTGAGGAGTCTGCAGTGAGCTGGAGCTGGAGCTGTGCTCAGCCTCGTCCCGCTGCAGTTACCTGGCGGGCAGGACTCGCAGCCCTCCGACGCCTCCCGAGGAGCCTCCTGCCCGCCGGGGCAGGACTGACAGGCCGAGCAGCTGCTGGTGCTGGCAGGGGAGAGGAGGCAGGACACGCTGTAGGATGAGCATTTCCAAGACCAGCCCAGCCCACCAAAGTCAGCTCTTACAAACTCGAGTCTCCAGGAACCTTTGCCATTTTGTGGGTGTGTTTCTCCACCGCAGCTTCTCACACAGAACCACAGAATGGTCTGGGTTGGAAGGGACCTTAAAGATCATCTCACTCCAACCCCCTGCCATGGTCAGGGACACTTGACCAGGTTGCTTCAAGCTCCAGCCCACAGCTGAAATGGCAGGTGACTTGTCTTGGGGCACTACACTGGTGGTTCCAGCTCAGTGGCTACAAGGAACGTCCCCATCCCTGCCCATCTGAGATCCTGCACCCCAGGAGGCTCCTTACTTGCAAAATGATCCTGGCTGGCAAGGCAGACAAAAAGCTGCATTTTGCTTGGAGCTAAAATAGCCTGAAAAAGAGAAGGGTAAGGCTTCAGGATCCTACCTCCACATCTTGCCCATATCACTGTGAATGTGCTCATGTACATTTTACAAACAACCAAACAACTCCCCACAAAATGCTTCAAGTGGCATTTCAGGGCATTTGGGGCTATATTTGTCAAAAGCTCTGAAAGAGCAATGGAAGTTCCCTGCTGTCCTCTGCCATGTTGAGGGATGCATGGAGGGCTCTGGCAGATTCCCCTGGTGAATCTCACATCACTCAAAACCATGCCAAGGAGACAGAGAAACCTGTCACCCTTCCCAGCACCACAGGCTGAACTGGAATGAAGCTGGAACAGGTGATTCCAGTGCCAGCTCCCAAGTTATTTAGCTGGAGCAGGTCTCTGGCCAGGAGAAACTTCTCTGTTCACCCCAGTCCTTCCAGGCCTTCCCCCACCCCAGGAAGTCTGGGGTGCATCTTCTTCCCTGCCAAAGGAAGGACACAAGACCCACCAGCCAAGATGCAGCAGAGCCTCCCTCCCTGCACCACAAGGAGCAGGATGGGCAGGAGGACATGTACAGTCCCTTCCCAAAGCACAAAAAGGAGTGAAGTGCCCCAAAGTGCCCAGGGGCCAGCAAGACCCAACTTGTGAGTCCCACTACACCACTAGGAAAGCTGAGAGAGCAGCACTTGGGAATCCAGGTGGGTTTGGAGGTGCCTGATGATGCACAATGTGGTCAGAGTTAAGGTTCAGAGAGGAGTTGGACGTGATGTGGGTTAAGATCTGCCTCAAACCTGGGTTTGCACCGGGCAGGAGAGGCTGTGGCACAGCAGGATGAAACCAAACCCACCTCCCCTCTCCCTGAAAGCAAAAAGGAACTTTTTACATTTATACTTGCAGTATTTAGGGGCCAACCCCACAGAGTCCCCTGTTGTCTAACACAGTGTTTAAATCTGCTGAGTAAAGGGACTGACAGACCCCATCGCTGTCACCAGTCAGATTTTGTTCCCAAACTCAGCAAGTGACAGCCAAGGTGAGGTACAGCCCAGCAGCTCAGTGGGTGGATTTTCAAAAGAACAGTTGTGCCTGTTCAAGCAGGACCCCACTTTGGGTGCAGAGGAGCTGCTGCACTGCATGTGTTAATTAGGGTTTTGCATAGGTAAGTGCTATTGTGTTCTGCACATGCTGTTACCCCACCTGCAAACACATTACACCAGGCTTGAGTGGCATTAGCCAGGTGCAAAGCAGCTCCTTTTCAAATCCCCAGTTTTAATGTGTGGAAAATAAGGAGAGTATTACACTTAATATTCAGACTGCAGAAGATTGTCTAAATGAAAACAAAGATGCTTTAGACTCATTTTTGCAATCAGAAATAGAGAATATTTTGTTTCCTGACAACGCTTCCCCCTTGTGCTAAAACTGAATTTCATAAAACTTTTTTCCTGACTTCCATTGCAGTTAGCATTAACTTGTTGCAAAAACAAGCATGGCTGAGATCTGCTCTTTTCATTTTAATAACAACAGAATAGGGAAGAGATCTGCTGGGCTATTTTTAGCCTGTTTACCCTTCAGTGCTTTTAAGTTACCTGGTAATTGCATCTGCCCCTGGGAAAAAGCATCATGTGATGAAAATGCATTTGGGTTTAACACAGACCAAAGCCTACCTCGCTCACAGGCTCTGCAGGCTGCAGCCCCAGACTCATTAGCAAAATGTCCTGGTGGGCAGGGAAGACACACAGTGCTCCCTGGGAAGCTGGGAGGGAAGGGAGCAGAGTGGAACACAATTTTAGGTCACCCAAGCCTCTATCCATTTGGAGAAGACAGAGCAGAACATGACACTGACTAGTCTAGAAATAGAGAAATTATGAAAAAAGAGTTTAGGCAGAAAAACATTGGTTTGAACTCACCTGAATGTTAAATGTTCACTAAAAACCTGAAGTTTTCTGTATTATTAACATTAGAGATGCCCTTTGCCTGTGGGCAATATGGAAAGGGACCGTCTGAATTGAAGATCTTGAAAAATACGCTGTGGTCAGACTTAAAACCCTTGGCTTAAGTCAGACTCTTAAATTCACTCTTGAAAATGGAATAGGGAAGGTGTTTGCTGTTCAGCATCCGTTTCAAAAGGAGCTGCTCCATTGCTGGGAATCAGGAGCTGAAAAAAGGACCTAAACCACAGGCAGTGACCTGTGAGAGCCCTGACCTTAAATAGCAGGGCCTGTGGGAAAAGGGGGGCAATATGTCAGACCTCCAGGAGGAGGGGGAGGAAATGAGGCAAAGGCAGGGAAAGTGGAAGCTCTTACATTCATCACTAACAGAGCCAAATCCCCCTCAATTCCTTATCAAAGGAATTTGATAAAATACTCAGAGATGCTTTGGAGGAAAACAAGGACATACTCTCTAATTCATTCAGTAAGGCTGCATGAGATTTGCAGGAAAAAAAAAAAACAAAACACCAAAAACCAACAAATCAAAACCCCAAAACCAACTGGAAACATAGCAAATGCTTTGCTGAAAACAAACCAACACAGGGCCTGCACCAGCCAGAGCTGCTCAAAGCTGCAGGGAGGCCAAATTCTCCAAATACCACAGAAATGTTAAATGGTCCCATCGAAGCCCTGAGGCCCAGGCAGCCACCAGGAGATGGCCAGGCACACACTGCACCCCCAAGGTCCCCTCCAGTTCCCCCCACTTTTGGTCCTGCTCTGGCACACACCAGCCCAGCACTGCTGCCTGAGCCTCTCTGCTCCCTGGCCCTCTCCCCCATGCCAAGAGCAGCAGCTCTGTGTGCCCTGGAGACTGCTCCTGGCTGCTTTTTAAAGCAATTTGGGGGTACATTTTTAAGTCAAGTCCTCACAGCACAACTGCAAGGGCAGAGCACAGAGGGGAGCACAGAGGAGGATCCTGCTGGCACCTCAAACTCAGGGGCTGCTGCAAACAAACTGCACAGCCAGGTCACCCTTCCTACAGCCCAGGACTGATCCAAATGGAGCTGCCCTGCAATGGGCACAGTCCTGGGGGGCTCTCCTCACCCCTCCTGTCCTTGTCACCCCACAAAGGGCACAGCCCACCGTTTTCAGACATGGATACAGCAAGATAAAATCTGATAGGAGTGGAGAGAGCAGCACATGCACATGTCCCCACAGCCAGAGGACACTTGTACAGCATCCCTGGATCAGAGAGCCTGGTAGAATTGCAAGACTGGGCTCCTGGCTGGGATGTCTTGTCAGCTTTTCCACACTACATCAGCTGAGGGTATTGCTTTAGATGTCAGCAACACAAATGTAATGAGATGTCTTGGGGGCAAGAAAATGGGGATTGAGAAAGTAATTGGGCAAAGCAGGGAGATGGAGCCTGTTTGTCAGACACATCCTAGAGAAAAGGCATGAGGGCAAAAAAGGGAAGCCCACAGAGGAGCAGTCCTCAGCACAAGCATATCCACACCAAGCTTTCCTGATGAGGAGAATTTAGCCTCTGAGAAAAACAGCCCTGGCAGCACTTCTCCTACAGCCCAAAGGAAGAGATTTTTCTGGCTGGGAAGTGTTTTGTGGTTTAGCACCCAGTCCCCATGCTCAGGGGCTCAGTCACTCACCTGGTGTAATACCCCTGTGAGCAGGGCAGGCAGGATGGTTGCCCACTTTGGGGCTGGTAGTGGCCAGGTGGGCAGGGGCTGCAGGCACTGGGGCCAATGCACGAGCCCCCCGCGCAGCACGAACAGCTCAAGGTGCCTAAATTGGGACAAAAATTCAGGGTCAGGATTGCAAAACTTGACTGAAACCCCTGTGTCTGCAAGGACAGGTCACTGCCACAAAGGCAGAAGCTTTGGGATGCAGCTCCTCTGGCAAGGCACTCCTGAAGTGTAGAAACTGCAATGTTCATGCTAATTAGGCTGCTGCCCACTGTTAGCAAACTGCAGAGAAGCCATAAGATGATCTAGGGAGTCAAGGCTATCAGTGTGGATCTCCAGTAATTTAGCTGACTGCTTTTTCCTTCTTTAAGTTGAGGGGCCAGGAAAATTTTCCTTGTTTTCCCTCCAACACACACAAAAAAAGAGACATGCAAAAAAAGAAGAAACCAATATAGTTCTTTAGATTACTGATAATTTAAGCTTGTAGGAAGCAGAACTGATGAGTAAAGGCCCAAAGTCAAGGATCTGCCTTAAGCAGCAACAGCTTTTCTTTGTGCACAGGTACCATGGCATTCCCAGCAGGCAAGTTCTACCCCTCTCTGCTCCACAAAACCTGTCCCAGCCACACAGAGGAACTGGGTGGGATTTATTGCAGCTGCACCACCAATACAGACAAGAGGAGAAGGCCCTGTCAAAGATCCTTCACAAAAGGGAAGTGGAAGATAACTCCTGTCCTCTGCAGATTCACCCTAAACCATCAGAGCAACTTTTTAGAAGTGCCCTGCAGTGAAGGGAATAAGCAAAAAGTGTGTAGCTTGTATTCTGGAGAAATATTTTATTTTTTTGAGATTTTTTTTTTTTTTTGGCAACTGAGTGGTGGTGTTTGAAATCAGAACTCAACCATGTTACAACAAGTAACTTCTGGGAAAAGGTTATATTATGCACTGCTGACCACAACAGAGGTTGATCAAGTATTTTCTCAAGGCCATGGAAATAGGCTGTCTCTATAGCAGAGATTCTCTTTCAAACATTTGAGACAGCTGGAAATTGACCTTGTATTTGGCCCTGGAGCCCAAAATTATGTTCTGCTAATAAATCAAACTGTACTCGCCTTACGCTTTGTGCCACAATCCAACTACTTTGTCACCCCACTGGGGAAGCCTCAGAAGGATCAAAACACAGCACAAGGCCAGGAAAGACCAAGTCTTTGATTTCAGAAGGGTGAAATGAATTAAATCCCTCTCCTGCTGCCCGTCCAAGCTTCCAACACAAGAACAAGTGCTGGCTCCACCTCCCCTGATAAATCCCTTTTCCTCTAACACAGAAGGAGGGAGCAGGGACCCTTACCTTGGGTGGGGACAGTCCCTGGGGGGCAGGGGGCACAGGCTGTCACATTCACTCTGCTGCAGTTGGAGGGCTGGGGGGTGCTGGGGAGCCCAGGGGATGTGGTCACTCCTGGAGGGGACACTGGGGCACTGCTGGATGTGGCCGTCACTGCTGAAGATGCCTGAGAGGTGGCCCTGCTGCCAGAGGTGGGGACGGTCCCCGTGGTGGGGGGCAGAGTCTGGGCAGGGGTTTTTGTGCTTGGATCAGCAGATGGAGCTGCTGTGGATGCAGCAGGGTTTGCAGTGGTTGGTGTCAGTCCAGCTGAGAGTGTTGCAGGAGCAGTTGGGGGAGAAGAGGCCGTAGCAGTGGTTGCACTGGGAGGTGCTGGGGTGGATGCAATGGGAACCTCAGTGCTGGTTGCACTGGNGTGCTGGGGTGGATGCAATGGGAACCTCAGTGCTGGTTGCACTGGCAGGTGCTGGGGTTGATGTAACTGGGACCTCAGTGCTGGTTGTCTGGCCAAAAGCAATACCTAAGAGAAGAAAAAACAATTAGTGGCTGAATTATTGTTCTCCCTTTAATAATGTTTTCTCATTTAGGTCTTTATCAACTGTTTAAACCGTGTATCCTTGTTTGATGTCCACAAACTCCCCTCTGCTCTGTGTTCCACTACAGAGCAAAGATCTGAAGCAGCATCTGAGCATGTCTGGCACACGAGAGACTTACCAAAGAAATAAATTAGTGTGTCCACGAGGCCACAAATAAGTAAATGCCAATGTCTGGGAGGTCTGACTCGTGGGTGTGAGAATTGCCTGAAACAGTCAGTTTTGTTAGCTCCTTGAGACTGTTTGCTCTGAGATCTCATGACAATCTGATTTAAGATGTTAAGTAGCTGACTCCTTTATCCCATCTCCCTTAAACAGATCAGCCAAAAAAAATACATGGGCTCAGGGCTTTTTAAAGCTGTTCTGGTAGTACATCCAGTAACCAGAAAGGAATCTGTGGGCCAAGACTTGCTTTAATTCTAGAATCCCTCATCAGAGTGAGGATTGCTGAAATCTGTAGAGAAAGGAGGTGTTACTGCAGCTCAGGTGGTTTTGCTGTGATACAGGGTGGACTGGGATATCATCTGCTGATGGAAAGCAGCAGGTTATTTTTTATTTAGCAGTGTACTACCAAGCAAAGGAAGAAAAGCAAAACCAAAGCAGGCAGCTCCTGCCCCAGCAGCTGTGCCACCAGCTGGATTCAGGAACTCGGGGAGGGCAGGGATTTCCTCAGTATTTACTGCAACTTCTGAAAACACCCAACCTTATACAGCTCCAGTAGGCAGCTGCAGCTGAAACTGTGGGGTGTAAATGCTCTCTCAAGGAGCACACACCTGCTAACCCCCCTTGCCAATCCATGCCCAGTGGCACAGAAAACACAAGGACTCCTAAGAAATTGGTTTACGGTTTTCCAGGAGGTCAAAGAGTGCAGCTGACACCCAATAGTAGGATGTAGGTGAGGAAGGACAGGGCAGGGTGACAGCACAAGCTGTCAGGTCTGAGACCCACATCCCTGCAGGCTTTCCCTCAGCCCTGATTCACCCCCAGCCTTTAATTTCTCTCTTAATTTTGTACCCACGACGCAAAGCTAGGCACTGTGGGCACCAGTGCTCAGCACTACCATGGTACAAACATCAACATGCAGACCAAGCTGATGGCAGCTCCTGCTGGAAATTCTGCACCAGGATCAGGACACTGGATAAAAGAGTCTTTATAAGGTTGTGATCACATGGAAACAGTTTGCTGGGAGTGCTCCCTCCTGTTGTTGACTGCCTGCTTTGTGCCAAAATCCATCTTGGTGTAACTACTGAGTAGATGAGCACCCAGCCATCTTGCTTTAATACCTGCCCAGGTTTTAAAGAATTTACAGAACAGTCTGAATTGGAAGGGACCCAGAGAATCATGGGCTTCAGCTCTTAAAGAGAATAGCCCATATGTGGATCAAACCCACAACCTTGGCATTATTACCTGTGCCAATAATGTTCATCACCAACTGAACATATCTCATTTTCTTGCTGTGGCCCTAAAACAGAGACACCAAATCTAACAGTGATCATTTTGTAACACACTGATTTGCCCCAGGCTCAAATTCAAGGGGCAGAGGTGCCAGCATTGGTCCAAGGCAGGGAGAGCAGCTCCATGGTGCCCACACAGAACACTACTACTGTGGTCAAGCCTCCACCCAGCACCAAGATGCACAATTCCCCTCCTCTGACTCCTGTGCCTGAGGGGTTGAAGCCAGTCTGCTGGCTTTTTCCTCACCTCTGGCAACAGAGTCAGTCCTGGGATCCATTAAATGAATCCTAATGTAAACACTAGAAGTAAGGTGAGGGCAATGCCAAATTCCTAGGGAAAACCTTTCAGAAGGACCTCTGAGATCAAAGTCTGATCTCCCACAGCTCCCTCCTGACCCCAACAGATCAACTCTGCCAGCCAGGGTTTCAACAACTTGGACTGTCCATTAGTGGATGAATTTTGCTGTTGTTGGGTTTTTATAGCTGAATATGTTTCATTGGTTTTTTGGTTCTAATGTCAAATGGTGGTGCTCTTAAGAAGAATTTTTTAAAATGGAAAGTAGTTTTCCACAAAGCATTAACCAAAAATAGTAAAGTTGGTCCCAAAACTTCAGTAGCCATCAATAACCTTTGGTAGCCAGTATTTCTTAATAATTCAAACAACTTCTGGAGGAAAAAAAGAAGCCAGAAGGCTGAAAAAAATAGTGTTTGTGTATTCTACCAGTCATAGTCAGTCACAGATGTCACAAAACAGTACTCAAACAACCTCAGCTTCATTAGACAAAGCATTTTCTCTCCTGCACTTACACTGTCTGTCATGGAACAGCGATTTTGCTTTCTAGAGCCTTTTTCGTGCTTTTTGGGGGGATTTTTTCTTTTTTCCTTCAAGGAGCACTGTGAATCACCTGAAGTATCTCCAGGGGAACTTGAAGGATGTGTTATTTTGCATGTGACACCTTGGTACGAACAGGAGCCTCGAGGAAATCAGGGAAGGACAGAGAGCTGATCTTTCCCGACCCACCAACAGGCATCCTGCTCCTTGGGCTTTAAGATAAAGCCTCTGCAAATCCTCGCTATGCAGAGTAATACAACTCTATTTTTTTTCTTTTCTTCCTGTAAAAGCAAATTTTTGTATTTACCAAGTGTTTGATCACTTCCCTCCTTCCCCCAGCCCTGCCCACAGCCGCACCCACGGCGGAGCCCAGCGCTCCTCAGTGCCATGGGGAGCGCGTTCAGTGTGCTCAGCCAGGGAACAGAAACGCTCTGCCGGGAGGCCTTACCTGCTAAACACACCGCGGTGAAGCTGCACAGCACAGGACAGAGCCAGGCGCTCATTTTCCCCCGAGGAGCAGCAGAGCCTGTGCAGAGGCAGGAAAGCAGCCGGCGCCCTCGCCCCGCCGCTCATTCTCCTCGCTCTGGTGCCCAGCTGTCACCTGACGGATCATGCGGCTCAGCCGGGTCATCTCGGCCCAACAAAGCGGGGTTTATGTCGGGAGGCTGCAGCAGCTCCGAGGACGGGCTCCTAGAGCAGAGCAGAGCAGCCAGAGGAGCCGCCCAGAGCTGCAGAAATCCTGTGAGTGCCCGAGGATGTGATGGGCTCCCGGGCAGGCACTGCCAGAGCAGCATGGCAGCCCAGCCTGGCTGCGGGCCAGCCCCCCGTGACCTCGTCAAGTGAGAGGATTTCATTTCTTACACCCACGAGATTTCCTGAGAGAGGAGAAACAAGAAGAACAACCCCGAAGACTTCCCATTTTAACTGGGGCCAGCCACGCTGCAGCCTCTGGTGAGCACAGAGCTTTCCCAACCAGCGTTTCACTCCCCCTCCCTCGCCCACTGCCCCACCGTGTCCAGCTTGATGCATCAAGTTGTTATCAGGATCAAGCTCACAGATCCTGATGATGATTTTGAGGAGAGAGCATTAAGTTTAATGGGGCCCCACTCCATTTTCCATGTGTTCCAGTGTCTGTACTGCCTGCTGGGTCACACGAGGACACAGATGTCCCCATGTTTTCCTTACCTTGCAGCCCTGCTTTGAAAGATTCCCCCCTTTCCATCTGCCCCCACTGTTCAGCGATCAGCATTGTCAGGCCCCCACTGTGAGAGGATTTCCTTTAGCATTCAGCTGAATGCCACATCTTACATGTCACCTCCTTGCCCAAATTGAGGGAACAGAGGGCGACTCATACAGGATTGTGGATGCTCCACACGCAGCCCCCACAGCTGTGCATTCAGGTCCTCTCATGCACTGTTCGTGCCCCTTGTGCTCCAGGATCCTCAATAGGGCCCAACATGATGAGCCAAAAGTAGCCTGCTCTAACACAAACCCTCAGGCTTTCCTCACAGTGGCCCAGGTGGGGTCAATTTGGAGACAGGGACAATTTCTTGTCCTCCTGTCTCTGGCAGTGACAATCCGCCTAACCATCCTGCTTCATGGTAGCTGCATGGAGACAGGGCAGCCTCCTCCACTCTGCTATCACCAGTTTGGGTGGGTGCAGGTCAGACTGTGACCAGCTGGCTCCTAACACTGTCAGAGCGAGCCTTAACCTGAACTGATGACTGCCAAGTGATCGCAAGCAAGCATCAGGCTCAGCCCTGGCAGCCCCTCAGAGACGCTGCCCAGCAGCTCAGGACAAGGTAGGGGTGGGTTCAGTGCTGCCCCTTCCCTCAGGCAGGAGAGCTCTGAACGTGACACTGCTCTGCTTGGCTTTACAGGTTGTGCAAACCTTTGCACAGGATGTTTGATCTCAGTCTGTGTGAAGAACCTGTTCCTCCCAGAGCTGTGCAGGGCCATCCACTCCCCAGTGGGCTGAGGTTCTGCAGTGAGAGACAATTTCTGCAGGAGCAGCATTTGAGGCTGGAGCAGCTCTGGGCACTGGTAAAACACTGCCAGCAATTACCCAGTGAGACTGATCCTGCTAGGGAAGCTGGCAGCAGACCAGTCCCCTCCATCCCACAAGCTGCAGCCCCTGGTTAGTGGGGAGCTTTCACACACTCCCCAGTCCCAGAACCACATCACACCTTGGCTGAGCAGCTACAGCACTCATGTACACACTGGGAAAACATTTCAGAACTGGATGTGGCAGCACTTTCACTGTCAGTTTCAGCCTTACACATGGAAGAGAAAGGGAAATTGTGCATTAAAACCCTTCCTGTGCCCTCAGAGCTCCCTTTCTGTGTGAGCTACCAGAGCTCAGGTGAGAGATGAGATAGGCTGCTTTCTTCTCAGCTGTTTTAGCAACAGGGCAAGCTGGAAATACACTTCTGATGGGGAAAATCTAATGCCACTTCAGGGCAGAAAAGTACAAACAGACAAATTCATAAACTCCTGACCTGCCTGGGCCTGTCTCCATTGAGATTAAATGCTTTTGCTAGTTGGCTCACAGAGAACAAAAAGCAGTGTCACGGTTTATCAAAAGTGATGTCCTAGGCTGGCCCAGGGCCCTGATCTTGTCAGTTCTGTTGCTCTTCCATAGTTGACAGACCTTGTGTCCCCAAACAAACCAGACAGTGCCCTCCACCCGCAAAGCATACAAAGCAGAGACAGGAACAGGGATGCTTCTCCCCAGAACACAGCATCCTGTGCAAACACTCCTGCAGCTTGTGCCAACTCCCTGGCTTTGCCCAGCCTGGAAAGGACAGCTCTTGTCCAAGGCTGTCCTGATCCATCCCAGCTGAGCAAGCAAAGGATGTGCCATAAGAGGTTTTGTATGTTGAGGGCAGACTTGGATTTCTGAGCTTCCCAGGCTTTAGAAACCCAAGGACCACCACAGTGCTCTGCATTAACTGCCTGCAAGTCCCCTGGGTGTTAGATATCCAAGTGAGCTGTTTACAAGCAGAGCTGCCTGCTTAGTCAGAAACACTGAGCAGGAAGACTCTCAAACACCAGCATTCTTTGCAGTGTCACCTGTGACCTGCTGCTGCCTCATCTTAGTCAGCTGGGATGTGACTAAGTGCTGTGGGGGTGAAAATCCCCAGGTGAGGTCCCACCTGCAGTGGGGACAGTGCAAAGGAGAGGAGTGTGTGAGCTCACAGCAGACTGTCCCATCCATAAGCCTGGAAATGGTAGGTCACCAGGTGAAGGTCAGGAAGGTGTTAACTACAAGCAGAGGAGAGCAGAGTGGTTTGGCTTGACAGGTACTGCTAAATATCATCTTCTTTCAACCTCTGCCATGGATAGGGACACCTACTAGACCAGGCTGCTTCAAGACTGATCCAACCTTGAACACTTCCAGGGATGGTGCAGCCACAGGTTCTTTGGGTAACCACTTCCAGTGCTTCACCATCCTCACAGTTAAGATTTTACTTCCCTAATAACCAATATAATCCTGTACCTTTTCAGTTCAAAGCCATTCACCCTTGTCCTATCACCATGTGTCCTTGTGTCCCTCTCCAGCTCTTTTATAGCCCCTTGAGGTAGCAGAAGGTGCTGTAAAGTCTGCCTGGAGCCGCCCCTTCTCCAGTCTAAACAACCCCAATTCTCCCAGCCTGCCCTCATAGCAGAGGTGCTCCAGGCCTCTGAGGACCTTCCTGGCCCTCCTCTGGACTCAGGTAATTTTATCCTTGTATTCTTAGGCTCTGTGCAGTTATCCACCACTCCACTGCACTGCTGGTGTCCTAGGCTTAGCAGACACCTGTTGGAGTAGCAAATGACTATCATGCTCCAAGGCCAGCAAGGTGCAGCAAAGCTGTCGTGTTTCCATGACTCTGGAACAATGTGGTTCCTGGTGTGCTGTATCCAGCCATTTGACAGGACTGTGGTCCTTTGGCAGTGTTGCTGAGCTAGAAAATGGGGGTGGACCGAGCTGCTGCTGTTGCTGGGAAAAAGCAACATATTCAGGCAAAGTGCAAGCTGGATTCTGACAAGGGCTTTTTCTTGGAAAAGACTTGTCTTCAAGCAATATAGGTTGTGATTCCTACCCAAATCTAGCTGTGTGTAGAAGAGGTACCAGCTGCAGGTATCACTTGCTCCTCCACAGACAAAAAAGCAGAAGAACTCCTGACGCTGCTGGGATGCACCAACCCAAGGGCTGTGCTGGGAAGCCACAGTGAATCCAGAGCCCTTTTAGGTGCAAGGTTATTCCAAGGTATATCCACTGACTCCCATCAAACAGGACAGGTGGCCAGGCTTCAGGGATGCAGGTCTAACAAGCAGTCAACAGCTTTGCGCCCAAGAGGGGGCCAGGACACTCCTACAGAGGTGAGAAGGAAAAAAACAACAAAGCAGCACCACTGTTCCCAGAGGAACACACAGGGGTTTGTGCTCTGGACGGTGAAACCTCTTCGTGAGAGAACGGCCACGCGATGGCACCACAGCGCTGGGGAGGGGACCAAAACCACCTCACCCAAAATCTGCCTTTGGGAGCGGCTCTTCCCAATCTGCGCCCGCAGAAACCTCCGGCAGCAGTGGCTGATGTGGAGGTGGAATAACGAAACCCACAAAAGGGAGCTGGAGGAACTTAAGTAAAAAAAAAAAAGTTATTACAGTCAGTTTGAAATAAAAACCTCACACTTTTTTTTTTTTTTTAATGTGTTTCTTCTGTGTCTGGGTTTAGAAGGAATAATAATAAAAAGAGCAGAGCTAGCTAAAGGAAAGGTGTTGTACTGCAGCAAGGAGTTGATGGTTTAGCCAGCCATAATCATATACAGAGGCTAGAAGTTTATTTTCTCACAAGCAGCACAGAACATTTAATTTTTATTAATTTTTATTTCATTCCCCCATGAGTTAAAAAGGTGGTCTTAAATGGGCCAGTGTGATTTGGGTGTCAGTCAGTTCTAAGAACACAGGTCAAACCCAGCTGGTGCTTTAGGCAGAAGAAGTGCAGGGAGTGTTGCCTGTGCTGTTCATGACTGCAGCATTTGGGGAGGGAAGGAGGAAACACCTTCCATTGACCACAGCTTGTTCCCCCCTAGACAACAGCTCTGTGTCAATGGATCAAAAGCCAAAATTCTAGCACAAGAGCAGCTTGTCTTGCCAATTCTTCTATCTCAGGAAATGGCCAATTTAAAAAAAAAAAATAATTGAAAGATGAAAATGAAAAAGGAGAGAGACTATGGATTTCAGTGACACCAAATGGGGCAGGCACTAGAGCCAGGCTTACATGCTAGTGAGGGGTTCAAGCAACTATTCAGAGAAAACAACTGCTTTCTGTTTTCATTAAATTTTTACCAGGAAGGAATAAGTATATTATAAAACCAAATACACAGGAACCACATTCTGAAAGCCAAATAAAGGAATCTCCCCAAGTTCCTCAGGAAAAGGTCACAGAATCTCAGAATGTTTTCAGTTGGAAAGGACCTTAAAGATCATTCAGTTCCAACCCCCTTTCATGGGCAGGGACACCTTCCACTAGACCAGGTTGCTCCAAGCCCCATCCAACCTGGCCTTGAGCAATTCCAGTGATAGTACAAGTACCTTGAAACACAGCACATCCTGGAAACAGTCACCTCATTTCCTTTAGAACAGTCAGGTTTTGCTTCTTGCCTCATTTTCCCTTTCCTGGTCTCAGGAGAGCCTGTACACACACTTGCGTGGCAGGGAGAGGAGTGGGGGCTGAGATGTCCAAGCTCTGTCTAAAAGGCACTTGGAGCACAGGACAGCATCTGGCACAGGTTTGTCCAGGTAGGGAAGATGTTTGGTCCATCATCAGCCTTAAGGGCTAGCACT